CCTTCGTTCTCTGCCCGGCCCCCCCCCCCCCCCCCCGAGAATGGGGGTACACTGCTCTGCGTCCGGCTGCCAGGGGGGTACAATGATGCAAAAAGGGTGAAAACCCCTGATCTAGTAGCATACTTGCAGAGGCAGATATTGCAACTGATTACACTACTTTAAAAATCAAAGGGGCTGATCCTGCACAGCGTCCAGTACTTGAATTTTAATAGTAATTGATTACTGTGTGAGACCTGCATCTACCATTTGCATCCTGAGCTCAGAGTGCCTAGTTAAAGAGTACCTTGGGCATCAAAGTCTATTATCTAGCCAAGGGGTTTTCAACCTTTTTTGTAAAGAGTGTACCCCTTCTGGTGGCAGTGGCTGGACATGGAATGGGGGGGTCTGGCACACAGGGACTCAAGGTGGTGGATGGTGGTGGCAAGTGCCACGTGCGAGCAAGCCTTTCCCCTTTAACACCCCCTCCCCCTGTGTCTGGGTGGTATCTTTGCAGCCGACGCAGGGGGGACTTGCACGCAGGGGCTCGGTGGTGGTGGATGCCACGTGCGAACAAGCGTCCCCTCTCCCCCCCCCCACCTCATCCAGATGGTGGTTTTGCGGCCTGCAGAGGGGAACCGCTGCCCTCGCACCCCCCCCGCACCCCCCACTCCTGGGAGGTGGTGGTACTCTGTCCCTGCCTGCCCGTGCATGCCTCCGAGCATCTTCCCAAGTACCCCTGGGGGTATGCATACCCTCCATTTGACAACCCCAGATCTAGCCCAAATAGTTCATAACCTTTTCCTTTTCATGATTAAGAATTTGGGTCCTTTGTCACCTCAGCTTATATCAGTATTTGTGCCAGTTCCTGCCATTTGTCTCTAGGCATTTTAATGGCCTTTGAACTGGGACGCATCTGTTTTTATGAATATGGTGTGTGCCGATTTGTGCTTTTGACAGTATTACTTGGCAGTTAATCCGAGGCAAAAGGGATGCTCACCAGTCGGTCTGAATGGTTGGATCTTGCATTTCTGTTGGCGAGGTGCAGAAAGCCAGGGCTGTCATCCAAGAGTTGCCAGGCCTCTCATCATTAACTCAAGAGAGACTGGAATTTAGTTTAAGAACCATGGCAGCTCCTATTATAGTAGAATATGAATGCCTCACAATTTTTTAACATGTTAAAACCTTGCACCCCTGTGAAAGAGGGGTGCTGTTATCCCCATTTTATGGATGGGGAACCAAGGTAAGGGACGTTCAGTCAGATACCTAGCTACTTTTAAGCACCTAATTTATGTTAACTCTCAGTGACAATTAGGTGCCTACATTTTAATGTAGCCCTTATTTTATTTATTTTAATCTTAGTTTTTGAGTAATGTGTCTGAAGTCACACAAGCTGCCTATAGGAAATAGGAATGTGAAAGCCAGTTTGCCTTTCAGTACTATAAAAGGGATTAGCCTAGTACAAGGAATATTTTTTTTTTTTTATCAAAGGAAGCTATATGCTATGCTCATCTTGAAGGGGATGGTAGGTTCTTCCTGCCTTCAGTCATTCCTACTGTTTGGACTGGTAAAGTACTGCTTTCCCTTCTCCTACAAATAACCAAGGGAAATAGAAACTCCATTTTCTCCTTGCTTAAAGGATAAACGGAGCCTTCTATTCGTTCCTTCTTTCCCAGTCAATATCCTTTAGCGCTTCTGCACCATAGCGACATGGACAGAACAGCGTGCTTATTTTGCTCTGCCTCTATATGACTGTAGCACTTAACCGCTACTAACTCTGCTTAATCGGTAAAACAGGAGCATATTCCAGTCTGCATGGGAGTGCAAGCCATTTCTGGCATTGTCCCCTGGCTCAAGAGCCACTGTTGTAATCGGTGAATATTGCTGAAAACTTTGAGAGGAGTCCTGATTAGTACTTTGATTGCCAAAAGCTGATGTCAATGCAGTGTTTAAACGAGATATAGAAAACTGAGTGGGATACCCCATGACTTGAGCAAGGAGGTGCAACAGGCTGCTTCTGTTAAAGGAGGTGTGTATGTGTATGAAAACATTATTTCCCCATACTTTGTGTTCAGTACTTCCTTGTATCTCAAATTAGTCTTTGCTTGTCCACGTTTGCTTGCCCCATACTGTTTTTGTTGATCTATCCTTTTATTACTCTGCTTTTTTTCTAATTCTGTATAATTTAGAGAACATCTTGTGTATAATGTTCTTGTTGGCTTGTCTAGATTTGTCAAGAGAGAATTACAGAGAAACAATTGCTAGAATCACAAGGAAACTACTCCGTAAGTATATTTTCATATTGTCTCCCTAATTTTACACAGAACTTGATTACAAAAATTACAAAAATGTAAATGCTTCCTGTTCACTATACTCTTAAATGTCATTACATCATTGAAAATCAAAAAGAGAAAAGTCTGTTTTGTGGCCTTTTCTTTGCTGCATGGTTCATGCAACGTTTTCAACTTCAGAAAATAAATAAAATGTTGAATTTTATGTCACTGAAAGTTGTGCTTCATATCAGATAACAAGCTTTTATTTCCCTCCCTTGAATGATAGATTATATACTTGATAATTCAGAAGATGACACCAAGTCTTTGTTTCTAATCATAAAGGTATGTTTAATGTGCGTGTGTGTGTGTTTGTTTTTTAATTTTAATGAATTGCTTGGTTTTACTCAGTGTCTTTGTTTTTTTGTTTGCTTTGGTGACAGATCATTAGTGACGTGTTACAGTTCCAAGGATCTCACAAGCATGAGTTCGATTCCAGATGGAAGAGCTTCAACCTAGTGAAGAAATCAATGGAGAACAGGGTCAGTGTATTGTTTGAGGAGGAATTTTTGATTGTTCCTTGATTTTTATTCTTAGTTGCACCTTTCATAAATTCCAATTTAAACTGATAAAAGTTGCAGTATAATTACATATTCTAAATGTATTAGATTATTTTTATCACTGTTTTTATTAAGAAAGATTCTAAATGCTCTGTAAATATTAAGCCTTGTAACATCCCCTTTTATATACAGGATCTTTATGCTATTATTAATGGGTCCTTATGTTTACTCACTAGGCAGGAAAATTAAATGCATGCATCTTTTTTTGGAGACTAAACGCATGGAATTTATTACTTGGAAAGCACCAGTCGAGTTAGTATATGAATTGCATCTAAGTTCAGAAACGCATAGGAACCAATCTCCTTTAAGTGTAATAATATTTAGAACAATTCATCTGCTGAATACAGGCTAGTTTTCAAAAGGAAGAAACAAATATCTGTCTAAAGTGAACCAATAGAGACATAGACTTTTTTAAATCAACTGCCTAAATTGAGAGGTTAAATCAAGAGATTAAAAGACTGTCAGAACGTGGCAGTTTTGACAGTCTTGTAGTAAATAGAGTCCTAACTAATTTAAGGCATTAAAATAAGGAGCAGATAAGGTACAACTCCCTAAAAAAAAACAGTGGAATTTTAAGCACCCAAATACGGGGGGTAGGGGGATATGTGCCTAGAATCTTAAGTTGGTCTGGCAGCAGGGCACTGATGTGATGTGCATTTATCAGTCAGCTGCCTTGGACACATACATCTTCAAGTGTATATCTCATGTTGAACCTTGCTATAGTCCCTCTTTGTGCCTTGGCATCTCCCGGTATTCCTTTATTAATTAAACAAAGGATCATGTATGCAATAGTGGAGGTAGTTGCAATATGATGCATAGCCTCTTATCACATGGGACAAAAAGTCCTACATGCCTTAAAGGCAAATGTTAAACCAAACAGCAAAATTTATTAATAAATATAGAGCTGGAGATATAAACGTAGTATATGTAGGACTGGATGGGGGTCTCTGGTCCATTATGTTCAAGCTTCTGCATTCAGAGGCAGTCATTTTGTCAAAAGATTCTACAGGATTGTCCAGTCTGGCTATTCTTGCACACGCATACATTTTAGTGTGCCACAGGTAAAGAGCAGAAGAAACTAAACATTTTATTTAAATAAATAAATTGTATGCATATATTATATAAAATATAAATAAATAATATAAAATGGTGTGTGTAATAGTAACTGTTTAACATTTAAAATAAAAGCTTTGTGGGTTTTTTAATAGGATCACAAAATAACCCATAGTGGCTAGGAACAGAAATAGGAAATGCCTACCTCAGTGGCTAGGGACAGAAATTATACACACAGTGGTTTAAGTCCAGGGTTCCCAACCCCTGGACCTCAGCCCAGTGCTAGGCCATGAGGGGCTGGCTGCCAGACCAGAAGTGACTGTGGACCAGCAAACTGTAGAATGGAAGTGACTGGCATACTGCGGACCGGCAGCCAACCCTTTTTTATACTGAGTATAAGAAAGGGTTGGCTACCTGCCCAAAGTATTCTGGTCACTTCCAGTCCTCAGACAAACCAGAGGTTCCCAACCTTTTTAAAGTGATCAGAAACTGGTTCAGATCTGTAACAACAGAAATTCAGTGTACATAAACCACTTTCAGGATGGCTGAAACTAGCTTAAGATAAACTTGGATGGATGTAGTATCACACTTAACTAATTTAAGTTAAATCAGTTTATTGAGCTTATTTGATCAGTTTATTGATCTGTCCCAGGTCCCCTCCAGACTCAAGTTAACATGCAGTCCCCCGGCATCCCAGGATGCTTTGCACCTCCCCCGCAAATGCTCCTGTTGCAGGGTAGGTGGTCTAGCCTTAGCCCAAGCTGTCTGCTCCAACGGAGCAGGGAGGCATGCTCTAGCAGCCCCCAGTCCCCCATGTAAAGATTCCCAAAATGATTTACAGCCAGGATGCACTGACTCCAGCAGCCAGAATGCACGGACTCCAGCAGCAACTGTTATGGAAGTCTTTCTTTATATATATGGCCCAACGGTCAGGATGTCTTTCTGTACATCTCACTACTAATAGGATGCATTATGTGAAGTGATCTTGGGGAGAGGAGTTCAGGGTTCAGATGGCTGATGTGGATGTGGAGATTTTGAACCAAATTGCTCTTCCTTTACAGCTTCAAGGAAAGAAGCAGCATATCAGAGCCTTGCTGATTGATAGGGTCATGTTGCAGCATGAGGTAATACTTGTTCAGTGTCAATTTCCAGTCACTATTGTACTAGGAAAAATTGCATGGCTACATAGTCATTTAAAGGCATTCTGTACAGTAACTCTTATGTTTGTGTAACTCTAAATATGCTCTATATCTAACATGCAGTTTTCTACTTAATTTAGCTGAGAACACTAACTATTGAGGGCTGTGAATATAAAAATACACACCAGGGCATGATCAGGGATCTTCTGTGCTTGTCCACAAGTTCCTATGGTCAGGTAAGCAGAAATCATCTTTGTTAATTTGCAGTTGTGGGGTTTTTTCAGCTTGATATTTGCAGTGGATACATGTAATATAGTTCTTTTTTTGGAAGGCTTTTCATTGTTAAAATATCTTTATTTGTTTCTAATGCTATAGAAACATTTAATCGCTTATATGATTATTTTCAGAGTTCTTGCCAATCCTTGTCAGGCCAAAAAATTAATGTCCTTTGAAAGCTATACAGATCAGGTTTGGTTTTTTTTGTCCTGTGAAGTACATTTGCTTAAATTGATGGAAGCCACATGCATATTTCCAAAGAAAGTATTAGGCCCATAAAATCTGGTGTAGAATCATCTGGATTAGTTACCAAATTGAATTTGGTATAAATGTGCTAACTGCACATCTTTTAACAGTTCTGTAGATTAAATTCTCTATCCATACCACAGATACAGCAGGGATTGTGGCAGTTCAAGCTTCTCCAGACCCTACTGTCAGTGTATCTTAAACCTAGCGTAGAGAAATGGCAAGAATACTTACTTCTTTGCTAGCCTACAGAAGCCTTGGTAGTGCTTTGTGATTTCCGTGTTTCCTTGCTTGAGTCTTTGCTAGTGACAAATGAAGCAGTAGTAAGCAGCTATACATTGGTTAAGAAGTTCAGTGGTGAGCACTGTAGTAAGGAAGAGATCAGTATATTGCTATCAGATTACTAGTGCAGACCCTGATTGCTACGTTTTTATCAAAATTAGACCATATAAAGTAAGGCAGTAAAGGGGAAAAGTTTAAAGCTGTGCTCACCTGGTACTATGGCTGAAACAAGAAATTTAAATCAAAATTCCATATTTTTTCAAGGTTTCTGAAAACATTGTGGAGAAGTAGTTCATCATGTAGATAATTAGCATACTTGGGGGGGACTGCTTTGTACCTAAACAGCACAACCTGAATTCATTGGAAGAGGCTATGAAAATAATTTTAAGAAAAAAAGAAAATAATTCTGACATCAGTTTTAATGCTCTTCCTGCACAAGTCAGTATATCATTGTGTGCTGGTGGGGTGTCCAAAGGATTAGAATTACGAGAATCAAAAGGAGGGGTCCCCCAATGATATCTGCTGGAGAATCAGTTCACTTCCAAATATCAGCCCTATTAATTGTTATTATCTGTGGCTTTCTGCTATGCTATTCCCAATAAATTGGATACTGCTAGACAGGATCACACATTCCACTGCAGCAGCAAATTGTAATAACAGGCATGATGTATTCTTTTGCAAATTGCTTTAGTTGGATCATAAGCCTTTTTGATACCTTAAATACACAAAATAGCTGATATCAGTAATGGGAGTTCACAGCACTGTGGAATCACCCAGGTGCATTTGGTTCCAGACATGCATTTCTTGTCTAGGGAGATTCTGTGGGTTTGAAGACCACCTAACCACTGCTATCAGAAGGAACAGTCCATATAAATATGGAAAAGTAAATCTGACTTTTAAAATGCAATGGATATATTCAGTAATGTTGGGCCAAAACTTTAAAGTTACGTTGATAGTGATCTTTTTAAGTAAATGCTAGAAAGAATGAAGTATATTGAAAGCAAATGTGTGATAGGGTTGGGGAATGCATTGTTAACCTTTCAAAAATAAAACGGGCTACATAAACCCCGCCCACTATGATGAGAGCTAGGGTATCAATGCTGTGTATATTTGTTTACATATACCTTGAAGGTCTCTAATATTTGTTTTGACAGGTCAGAAATAAAGCTCAACAAGCCTTCTTCACAGCACTGGGAACATATAACTTTAGTTGCAGAGATATCATTCCTTTGGTTTTGGAGTTCTTGCGTCCAGATCGGCAAGATGTCACTCAGCAGCAGTTTAAAGTACTGTCTCAATTACTTAATTTCAAATCTGTCTCCAGTTTGTGTCTGTGTAAGAGATTTTTATATGTTAAAATACATGCACTTTATTTTAATATTTTTATTAGCATGACTTTGGGTTGGCTATATCTCCCATGAATGGCTAACCCTAGAGATGAGTGTCAGTAACCTTTCCAAGTGAGTGCCAGCAAATAATAAAAAATATTTCCCCCCACTTTTATATATGCATGCTCCATTTCATAAATTGTTAATAGCTATTAGTAGCTTTGCCATTTCCAGTAGTGCTGGGAGGTATCCTGAATTGAACAAGGAGTTGAACAACAAAAATATGCTCTGATATATCACAGATAGGTTGGTAAAAAGGTGATAGGATCGTAGGCATGGAAGGAAACCTTCCTGAGCCATTTAGTCCAGCATCTTGTATTTGTAGGCACTCTAACTGAAGGAAATCCCACAATCACCATGTCAAACCACCCTCCCCTACAACTACAAAAAAGGACATCCAAAAACCCTTGTGTTAACAACAGGATTGACAAGGACATTGGAAATCCCCAGCCACTGTTTTACAGGGTGGTAGCTGGTTAATCCCTGCTCAGAATATCCTAGGAAATGGACTAGACCCCATGCCACAAATCAAGGCAAACATCTCATAGTCCACACCAGTCTGATTTGCAGGAAGAATTGCTTCCTGACCCCAAATTTAGTGATTGATATGACCCAGGGCAGAGAAGTGAAGCCCTCTAGCAATGCTACATATGCGTTTCAAGAATCACGCTGAATTATGGAGAGAGAACTCGCTAGTAACTACCTTTTTGAAAAGCATCAGAAGTATTTTCACACACTATTGAAAATGAATACTTAATATGGTGAAAACTATGGGAATATCTCATGTTTGGGTAGTGAAGCTCAGGGCTTCCACCTCCATTAGCATAGCATTTTAGTTGGTGGTAAAATGGATTGTTTTATTTAAATAGATATATAATTTATTTTTTAAATTTGGTTTTCTACAGGGTGCCTTATATTGTCTTCTTGGAAATCACAGTGGCGTATGCCTGGCAAATCTCCATGATTGGGATTGTATTGTACAGACTTGGCCAGCAATAGTCTCCTCTGGACTTAGCAAAGCCATGTCTCTGGAAAAACCATCTATAGTTAGACTTTTTGATGACCTTGCAGAAAAGATCCACAGACAGTATGAAACAATTGGATTGGATTTTACAGTAAGCAGAAAATTAAAAGTTACTATCTGTAATTCAGAAGCTGTTTTATTTATTTGATAAATTGTCTCAGTTTTACAGGTATTTTATTTTCTCTGACTTCTGACATTAATGGATCAATCTCGTACTGATTTCTGGCGTGCAGAAATGAACCCCTTTTATTTCTGAGACGAATGTTATGTTTCATCCTAAAATTACTAGATTGTAGCCCCTGTGTTAAGTTTTAAAGAGGCCAGTATGAAATGTGAATGGAAACAGAAGTTAGGTTATCACCAGGGATCCGTGTTTTCCGTTTCCCACGGAAAAATGGAGAAAACCACGGATTCCCAATTTTTATCGGAGAAAACACAAATTTTTCTTTTTAGCAGAGAAATCTGCGGATTCTCCACTTTTGTAAAGAGCCAGTTGCAAAAAGGGCAGGAAACCCCCAGCCCTGGCTGGAGGGAGAGGGGGGCGGGCAGAGCCTGAGCCTCTGAGGCAGCCAAGGTCAGGCTCAGGCTAAGGTTTGCCCTTCACCCCTGAAGCACAGAGGTAAGTGGGGCTGTGGACAGGGCTGAGGGAGGGGGGGGGGGGGTGCTGCCAGCCCCAGGCAGCACACAACAGCTGGGAGCAGGGCCAGGGGGTGAGGGCAGGGATGCTCCTCTATGGGGGGGCTTTGTGGGAAAGCGATGCGGGGTGCAGTGTGGTGGTGCCTGCCACGTGTGGGCCACATACATGCTGCCTGGGGGAAAGGGAGGCTGTCATGTGGCCGGAGCTCAGCTCCATGGCTGACTCTAGCCATGGCAAGGGCTTTTGGGGGGGGCGGGCCTGGAGCTGGGGCTTGCACACAGCGGCCGCTGCCACTTACTTGGAGGGCTGTGGTGGCGGTGACGGCCACTGCCTCCAAAACCTCCCACAGCTGCTGTGGAGCCGTGCCTGGAGCTGTGCAGCCAGCCACTGGGTGGCAGCAGCAGCGTGGTGGTGGCCAGGCAGCATGAAGTCATCCCCAACACCACCCCACACTGCGCTGCTGCCGCCGGCTGCACAGCTCCAAGCATGGCTCTGTGGCGGCAGCAGCAGTCACCGCTGGCACGGGCTGCCGGTGCCAGCGGTGATGGCCGCTGCATACAAAACCTCCTGCTGCCGCCGTGGAGCTGTGCTCGGAGCTGTGCGGCTGGTGGCAGCAGCACAGCGCAGTGGTGGGGCTGGGAATGGCTGCGTGCCACCTGGCCACCACCACGCTGCTGCTGCTGCCTGGCGGCCGGCCACACAGCTCCAAACACAG